TGAGAGACCAAAGCCTATGCAATCATTATTCTGAAAATAGTACCCCAGTGTTAACCACTACACTACGCTGCTTAGAGCAGCACGCTGCCTCACTGTATACTAGATCAATTTTTTTTAAAGTGTGGGATCATATAAAGGCCGAAGGACTCTTCTTCTTGGTCCAAAAAATTCAGCACGGTACTCATTCGAGTTATTATCTGTTGAAGTACACAAAACCAACATCCAGTTGGAATGTGATATATGACTAGCAGAATCACACCATCAAATACAATTGTCTGAAAGTACAATCTGTTGGACTTCCTTGCTCACACATCATTACAGTTCTGAAAACTGAACACATAATAGAGTTCCCTCCTTTTATTATTCTAAAATGATGGACAATTACTGCAAAATCAGCTTGCCCACCACCGAACTCTGGGCCTCAAACGTCAGGAGCATATCAATTTCTTGCCGATATGCTGGATTAATGTCAATGTGTAGCTGGGTGTGTTACTACACTACACAATTGCCTGAGGACGCACAAGAGCTTCGAACAACAATAACTGCAGTAACCAATCGCATGAAACAACGTCATGATACATGCGAGGCAAGACAGGTGTCAGCATCACAGGACAAAGATAATGACACTGTGTCGAAAAGAAAATTTGGTGTCGTCGATCCCAAGAAAGTGACAACCAAAGGCAATCCGGGCCGTGTACGGAAGAACCTACCAATAGCTCCACGACGATGTAGTAAATGTTGTGGCACTAGACATACTATTCATAAGTGTCCGTAGCTTACGTGCCATGTGGACGACCTACATGATGACATGCCCTTTCTCACAACTTGATGGCTCCCAACATCCCATGCCATCAACTCAAGAAGACGACCATTCGAATCTAACTTATAATTACAATGACCTCTGATATCAAGTTTCATACATTATCACTTTTTAATTACTTTGGAAAATTCATCAAATTACCAACATGGTTTTCATATCCATTTTTTATTTTTTTTTTAACAGCAAGTGATATACTGGAGAGGGTATAGGGTGAGTTGGATGAAACATTGAGGCGTGAAGAGACATATTGGAGGCAGAAACCCAATTTGCAATGGGCTGTTGAGGGAGAGAGAAAGTCTATTGAGGGGCACTGGATGATGAGAATGGAAAAGAATTCTTGAGTGCTTTGCAGATTGACCTTTCTCTTAAGGTGAAAGTTAAATTTAGATGGGTACAGTGGAGGAGCCAAGGTGTTGGATCATTGAAGCTTAATACAGACGGTGTTTCCAAGAAAAACCCAAGTATTGTAGGGGGAGGAGCTGTGGTGCATAATGAATTGGGTGGCATTGTTGTGGCTACCTCCTTTTTTTTTATGGGCAGTGCTCTAACATCATTGTGGAATTTAAAGCATTGTGCAATGGATTGAAACTTGTTTTGGCATATGGTTTGACTTGTTGCAGGTTTGAAATTGAATGTGATTCATTGATTTTGGTGAATGAGTTTTGGGTATTAGTGATTGTCCTTGGACATGTTTGAGCTATTTGAGATAGATCAATGGCTTCTTGAGGGGTCTAAATTATAGCTTGGTGCATATTTTTCGTGGGGCGAATGTGGATGATGCTGATAGTCTTGCTGGCCAGGAGGTAAAGAGTAGGAATTTGGTTGATTTTTTGATGGGTTTGAGATTGCCTTGTGATGTTAGCTTGGCTCTATCATCTGATCAACAGAGTCTCCCTGTTTTGCGAAAAAGAAAGAGGGTGGTCTTCGGTGATAAGGGGTAATAAAAGCTACTGCTGGAGCTTTTTGTCTTGGATTATTAAGTGTTGCTTTGTTTGAAACAAGGGGAAAAGATAAAAAGCTCTTTATTGTTGATATGTGCTTATGGATTTGGACTGTGATGGATATTTTTGTTGAAACTTTAGAGTTTGATGTTGTTTATTTTTTGCTTTGCATTGTTAGTTTTGCCTTTTACTGGGTATGGATGGGCGTCTGTGCCTTTTCCTTTGTTTCTTGTCAATATTTTGCATTATGAATAAATAAAATTCTCTTTTGATTAAAAAAAAAAAATAAGATCCCTGCTTTTGATTCAATTGTACATGAGCAGTAGATTAATACTTCTTTAAACATTTTGGAGGTGAGTACGACTACATGTGCTTTGTCATTGCCTTTAGTTATTTGGTACAAACTATACCATGATTTCATTATCATATTGCACTGAATACTTCTTGCAGTGTTAACGTGTAGACACCTGGCCATTGAAATATTCTGGGATAATCACTTTTTTGCTCTACGGCAGCTGACCACACAATGCAACTTTCTTAAGTTGCATGGAAGGTTCAACTTCTTTTTTTTTTTTTTGGAAAAAGGGGAAATTTTATTCATCGAAGAAGTAATTATAAGAAGCAAAGAACAAACAATTCTACAAATTTCAAAAATGGCTTTAATCCTTCAAGATGATTAAAACCATTTTAAGCTACAAAATTTTGTCTTCTGATCTTCAGTCCAACTCCTGAACTCCCAGACAGCTCCTGATGAAGAATCCCTAAATCAGAAACCAACCAGTACAACACCCATGCAGTCCCAGCTGGTTTGCTATGTACCCAAACTCAGCTCCTGCACCTTTGCTCACAACCCAGCTCACAGCAACAGACTGCCCGAATAGCAGACAACTACTGAAATAAAGCAAAACAACAAACCAGTCTAGTAGCCAAGCATAAAGACCACAATCACCCTCCACATCAGCATCCCAGCAGCTATCTTCAAAGATAATCCACCAGAAAAGACAAAATCCATCATAAACAGACCAATGCAATCCAGTTCAGATAAAAAACCAAGACTCAGCTCTATACACCAACTGCCTACACATAAAACTTGCCCAGACAGTCTGCTAGAATATAAATCATCCCAAAAGTTGGCTTTAATCCTTCAAAAGAATCAAAGCAACTTATCCTCCTACCACAAACAAGACCCCATGCTCAACACAGTATCAACCCAGACACAGACTAGACCAATCAGATCAACTGCCCAGTTTTCCATCAAGCATTCTAACCTCTCCTCCATCATCCAACTCCTTGCCTTTGGTCATAAACCACAAGTCTCCTTTTGCTTGCAGTAACCAGTCCAAACTGATCCTGATGAAGAAACAATCTACTAGACATAGACAGACTGCTATGAGAAGATAACTCAGTAGATGCTCCCTTCTGAACAACAAAAGAGTCCAAAAAATCAGCTACAACATGTCAACGTTTCTAACTACTAGTCAATATATTTAACAACCATCCACCCAACATCTACAACACCCTTGCCAAAATGCCAAATATTACTATACAACAAAAGATTCACAAAAAAAAAAACACAAAACCAATGTGTCATTTGTTGATGTACTCTTTAAAGTCCTTATAAAAACAATCTAATTTTGACTCCAGACGCTGCAACGACCCTTTCATTTCATCCTCGAACTTTTCAAATTGGGCCTCCAACTTTTCAACCATTTGCTGAAGCGTTTGTTCACCTTTACTAGTACCAGCATCAAAACCAACTTGACTAGTCCTAGCTTGACTACCCACAACCTGAGGCACCGCTGCTGGCTGTTTCACATGCTTGAACTGTTTCACACCTAGAATAGCTCCCACACTTTTATTAAGTGTACCCATACCCATTGGATTCATGGGGTAAATAAAACTGTTATTCTGTTGAAATTCAACCCTACTAGCTTCAAAATCTTGGAAATTAATATTGGAAATGGAAGACATGGCCTGCAATCCTCGGCAATAGATGCTTCATGAACATGGTTCAATATGTAAAGGGGTAGATCAATAATAACCTCACGTTTAGCAATTGCATATAATAGTTGGGCCATATCGTATCCAATCTCAGCAATATGCTCTCTCGGATGTATATTACAGGCAACAATTTGGTTTATCATCCTATATGTTGGAGTAAGGTCAATGTGAGCAATTTTGCTTTTCTCATTCTCCCATGGGACACTCCCCATACAAATACGTCAAATAACCGTCGCCATTTCAGGAGTTTGCTCCTTACTTGAATATGGAAAGACAATGAAATATTACATAAGGTCTCTTATCTTTCCTTTGACTAAGCATTGTGCCGACTGCGTAATCACTCGTGTTGCACATGAGCTCAAATGGTAAGTCCCATGTGGGTGGTCGCATGATTGGAGGTGAAGTGAGCATGCTTTTGAGTTTTTTAATTGATGCCTCACAATTATATAACCACACAAATAGGATATCTTTTGAAAGCAAATTGGTCAAGGGTCTTGCCAAAGCACTAAAATCTTTTATAAAAAGACGATAGAAGCCGCCATGGCTAAGAAATGACCTGATGTCCTTGATGACTTGCAGAGTAAGGAGGTGGGAAAATGCTTCCACCTTGGATTTATCGACTTCAATCTCTTTCTCTGAAACAATGTGCCTGAGCACTATCCTTTGTGTCACCATGAAGTGGCATTGATCCTAGTTAAGAACCAAAATTTTCTTCTCACTTCTCTCAAGTACTCTCTCCAACTTCTCCAAACAACCATTGAAAGAATCCCCAAACATCGAGAAATCATCCATAAAAACTTTCACAATCTTTTCCACCATAATGTATCTTTGAAAGGTCACTGGGGCATTGCACAACCCAAATGGCATGCGATGGTAGGCAAAGGTATCGAAGGGACAAGTGAAGGTGGTCTTTTTTTGATCCTCCAATGCTATCTCTATCTGATTGAACCCGGAGTAACCATTCAAGAAATAGTAAAATAGATGCCCAACTACTGTTTTCAACACTTAATCGAGGAACGACAAGGGGAAGTGGTATTTTCTGGTGCACGAATTGAGTTTTCGATAATTAATACACACCCTCCATCCGGTGACTAACCTTATTGGAATTAACTCGTTCTTCTCTTTTGCAACTACCATGACTCCCGATTTCTTAGGAACTGCTTGCATGGGGCTAGCCCACTTACTATCGACAATCAAAAATATAATGCCCATGTCAAGTAGCTTAAGTACCTCATCCCTCACCACATCTTTCATAATGGGGTTGAGTCTCCATTATAGTTGTTGAGATGGTTTTGCATCTTCCGCAAAGTAAATCGTATGAGTGCAAATGAGGGGACTAATCCCCTTGATGTCGGCTATGGTCCACCCGATGGCTCCCTTGTGCCTCCTTAATACACACAACAACTGCTCCTCTTGTCTGATCTCCAAAGTTAAGCTTATTACCACTGGGAAAGTCTTGTGCACCCCTAAAAATGCATATCTTAGGTTGGATGGTAACGACTTCAACTCCAAGATTGAAGTTTGCACAGTTGATGGAAAGATATTTTTCTCTTGCAAAGGAAGTCTCTCAAATGTTGGGGTCCATTTTTCTACCCCTTGTACACTTTTCGGCTCCTCTTGATTAACAATCTCCTCCTTTGCCAAATTCAAAGTGTTCAATAGCTCTAAGTACTCCTCCAATAAAGTGTCAATCTGGTTGATTTTGTGTACTTCTTTGTCATCACCCAGTTGCTTGCACAAGTTGAACACGTTGAGGTCCATTGTCATATTCCCAAATACAAGCTTCCCATTCCTACAATTAATTAAGGTGTTAGACATAGCAAGGAATGACCTACCAAATATAAGAGGAATTTGTGAGCTAGGGTTAACAATCGGATGAGTATTAAGTACAATAAAATTAGCGAGAAAATAGAAATTGTCAATTTGAACTAAAACATTATCAACTACTCCCCTCGGTGTTCTAACGCTTCGATCCACCAATTGAAGAGTGATTGGAGTTGACTTCAACTCTTCAAGTTGTAGTTGTTGGTACACCGAG